TTTAATCAGACTGTAGAAAGGTAGTACGCTAAACCCAACCCATTCATTTCTATCACCCTGAGTTCTACCTTATCTAAATGGACTATTAATCGGTTGACTAATTTTAACAGTGTTAAATGGTGCACTAAATGAACCTGATCAAGATGTTGTTAAACCAGATAATCTTTTCTCCACTGGCAATAAATAAATACACCTATTGTCATTTAATAGTAAGGGCTCAAATAGAAACCGTTGGATTGTTTTAACCTGTTGTTTTTTTATTGGCGCGATGGTGGCACGGTGAGTATGATCCTGGCTTACTCAGTGTTGGTTGGGGAAATACCTCGGTATTTTTCAGCTTGTTTTCCCTGGACAGTGGTTCAGGACGGGCCCATAGAAGGGCGTCTAGACGTTTCGATGGAACGAAAATCCGAGATTTCTTGTAAAATATTCAGCCTTATCGAGTCCTTGGATTGCATTGTGACCGTTTTTTTTTTAATTTCGATTTAATTTCGCTTGCAGTAGAGGCTTACTGTCGACCCTGGATCCATTCATTTGATTCGATATTACTTTTATTATTTATTACTAACAATACCTTCTTCTTTGATTCGATATTACTTTTATTATTTATTACTTACAATACCTTCTTCTTTGATTCGATATTACTTTTATTATTTATTACTTACAATACCTTCTTCTTTAAGTGGCATTTAGTAATTGAACAGTAACACACTGACGCTATTTATGGAATAACAATTACTAGTTTATCATTGAATTGCTTGATAACGACGAGAGTACCATCGTCGAAACGTTGCATGTTAATAAACCAATAATTGTTATTCGATAAATAGTGTTAGTGTATTACTTACAATGTTCGTTTATTTATTAACTTCATTCATTAACAATACACACCCTTAATATTTCTAGAACACCTAGTACCACTCCTCATTTCAGAAATTAAATAAAGAAAGATAAAACTGTACGCAAACTGTTTAGTGTGACTACGGTAAATTTGAGGAGTTAACATATCCGAAATATACATAATATTTGGTCTTAAAAGAGTATATCACGCGAGCAATATTACTAATCACGCACTTTCAAAGTAACTACAGCAGTTATATGTTTTTGATTATAATAATAACAAAAAATAGTGAATGCTAAAACAGTTTAGTACATAGCAATAATAGTTCCTAATAATTACTCATAGAGAGAAGTTACTCAGTAATAAAACAAAGAAAAAATTAATCTTAGTAAAAAGTTAAATAAAATTAAATTGACGAGTCGCTACATTAAGTGCTAATTAAATAGTCATTAGTAAACAGTAAGGATACCTATCTGGGTTTGACATAAAGGTGTTCTCACAAGTAGAATTATTACATCTTAATGGACATTGCCGTTGTGCAGAGTGAATTCAATTTTAAATAACCTCAGTTATTGTCAAATGTATCGCAATTTTCACAGAAGTGATTTGTTATTTTAATGTTTGTACATATTAATCTTTTAAATCTTTAAAGATTTCAAAAACAAGTCTTTACATTTTTGGAATGAAAACAAAATGTAATTGTTAAGGGGTGGTTGACGGGGTTGGGTGGTAGAGTAATGCGTAGTTGATTAGCTTTGTGACGATGTTGAGGGTGAACCCTGCGTTCTGAACGGCCAATGAGAAACCATCGATTGGACAATATAATTCATAGTGTAATAATATAATGCGTACTATTTTCCTGAAGATAGTGACAGTGGAGACAACTAAGTTTAATTTCAGTACATTTTTGCCGGTATGTCCAAAAATAATCTTTGGAATCAACAATACCGAAACATTTACACCCACCGATCCCAATCGGACATTTGTTCTGACAGTATCTAATTTTGTAGGGTTCAGTTCATCGTAAATGTACACAAATTTATTATTTAACATTTAATGGAATAACCAAGTATCAATGGTTACAAAACTGTAAAAAATAGGATTTAATCGGAATATAGAGGCCCATCAAATTTTGTACTCCACACATATAGGCGGCGCTGGCTTCTTTCTATCGTCTACAGAGGGAGTGCCGATTGTAGTGGAAATTTCAATTCATCATATCTGTGAAAAAACTGAACAGAATTAAACATTTTCGGACCAATATTCCTTTTTAGAGAATCGACTTTCAAAACAGTTTAGTTTGCAAGGGATTTAAAATTAGCGGCTTTAAATAAAATGAACAATAATGGTTCTTTAAAGGCAAGAACGAAATATGCTTTCTGCAGCATTTTATTTGATCATAAAATATTCACAATTTGCTTGTAAAACTTTTGATATACATTTATTGATATATTTTTATAGAGAAAGCCATAAGTAATTTCATTTTATGACATATGACACTTATTAAAGGTCATTAAGTTGGGCGAACTTAAAACCAAAACGCGCATTAAAGCTACCAGCGCAAATGATACGTATTAAAGGTCATTTGTTGGTCCAGCCTAAAAAACATAAGTGTGCATTTTAAAACAGATTAAAATTAAAGCAACATTCGAATGACTACCATACTTCCACTGTTACGTTATTCTCCGTAGTGTGGGATATTTTGGTTGGAATAAATTGGCCCTCCATTGATTCTAGAAGCACATGTCAATTTCATACAGCAAATTACATAACACGGGGGATGACCACGTTTTCGTGTAGAAAATAAGGACCTGTTAAATGACTATTCCATTTGATTTTATTTTATCAGCAGGATGAAGACGCTTGTTATACTGATAGGTATAATTGTATACACGACATGTCAAACAGTGACACCAACATCATCAGATATAACAACACCAACTATACAAGTTCCAACATCTTCTACCAATACTATCTTACCAACAGGTGTAACGCTTCCTATCGATGTTAGTGGTAAACCAGTGGAAACCATGGCCAAAGGTGGGTTTTCTTAAATATTATAATCCAAATGCTAATTGTCTTGTGTATTCGTAAAAGGAAGCCGCTTGACAGATTTATGCTATGCTGAATACAGCTAGTAGATTTACGCGTGTTACAAATTCAGCCGGTTGAATAATGCGTATACCGAAGACAGCTACCGAATACAGCTGCTAGATGTTTATGCGTATGCGGAAGACAGTAGTAGATTTATGCGAATAACAATAGCAGGTTGTTGGAGTTCATATTTCGGAATTGCTTCTTGTCAATAAACCTGGCAAAGAGTAGGTCGAGAGAAAGACAGCTTTGTGTTTCTGTAGAATTTGATTCAGTTTGAAATTAAAACCCCTCTGTTTTATATCGTCGATAAAGTAAAAAAAACAAAAAAAAAAAAACCTCGGCAAAGCCTCACTCGTTTTTATATTATGGATTTGTTATCACCCAATAATACATTCTACAGTAGATATCGCTTGTGTGATATATTTTATAATCTACTGCGATATCTTCTTAGGAGATATCGCTTTACATGAATTTGATTGATCAGTTGAAAAGGAACTACTTTTTTATTTTCAAAGAACAGTTCATTTCTTATTAAAAGTAATTTTTTTTAAAATTAAAAATGAACTAGTGTTATTCAATTGACCTTGATGGAAACACAGGGCCAATAGAAAGAACTTATCAATTGGTTGAATTGCTGTCAAAAAATTATGTATCACTACGCCGTAATGTTCAGTAAACGTGAAATCTGCAGCAAAGAATTATATTTATCTATTTGTGCATGTAAGAAGGGATTGGGCGAGCCTCGTTATTTGTTACTTTATCAACTTGTGTTGATATTTTTTGATATCTCTTTTTATCGAAAAAAACTCATACGAGGTTCTCTGTATGTCTCTAACCTGGTGCAGTACCAGATGGTTTACTTTTAGGAAACGCATGTTTCAAAACACGGTTCATATCCACGAAATGATATACATACACTAGAAATTCCAGTATATGTACTCATATATATAATAGTAAAATTAAAACTAGAATTGACCAAGACAGGAAACCAGCATTTTAGTAGAAATGTAATGGCGCTATTTATTTTGTATTTGTCGTAGTATCTAACTGACACGACACGGTTTCCGTGATTTAGTGCATTATTTAATGATGAAATTGACAATTAATGAATAATTCGTTACTTTATAAGTTACAAAAATGGAACTATACTGTGCAAACCGGGTAACATAGCTACTGTTACAAATATTTTTCCTAAAACGCCAATAGCTACATCGTCTAATACGAGTAAATTCTAAACCATTGCTCAATAGCTAGTGACATGTTTCGGGCGCGAAGCTGGATGCTTACACTTCCATTTCCTGGAACACTTGACACCGCTTCTCGTTTAAGGCGTTTATCTGCACAGCGAACGATTATATATCTTTACTAGACGACATTATCATTCTTTCTAATAAAAATATTTTTTACAGAGGACAAATACCACCACTGTACCGCCTGTCCATTTGAAAGTGATCATCATAAATGCATTGATCCATTTTTGCTGAGTAAATCTTTTGAAGTTTCTGCAGACATGTGCAATGCAATCAACGCCGACAAATCTCAAGGTAAGCATTAATTTTTTAAAAAAATATCGTCCAATTGGACTGTTAACCATATCGTGTCATTATTAGGTCAAACTTAATTAGTTGGCTGTCCAATGTCCATTTATTTTTGATGGAATGATTATGATAATAACAATAATGACGTTGATAATTATATGCCACATTCTTCACACATTGTTCTCAATGTTGTCAATTGGTATATCGTCCAAATAACCAAGATTTTATATTTTCCAAAGCGTATTCCATAACAATGATGCAGCTGAGCAAAGAGTCTTCCACCCAAACAGTAGGACTAATATTAATGACCCACAAGTTTTCTGTGCCTCTGATCATCGAACAAGTAGACACTCTATAAACGATGTTTTAGATAAATGTAGATATTTATGGCGAATTCTTTTGATTTTTCAGTTGACAGATTATGTAAAAGATACCCTAAAGGTTATTTCTTCCAGTGTCCTCGAGATGGTTCAAGCTATACTTGTAAAGCATCTTGTGGTGTACAGGTTGAAGATGTTGGTAAAGGTCTTCTAGATGCTGATATTACAGGCATGCCAAATGGCTTGTTGTCAGGACTAGGATTCAACAACAAGGACAGTTCACACGGTGGTCCACAAGAGCTCAACCTCTTCAATAGTATGGGGAACCTCTTCCACCCTGTTCAGCATCAGATGCCCGCTGGACACTCTCCCATGCATCCGCAACCCACACAGAATCATTTCAATCCTGTACAATTCCAGAATCCACCAACCAACCACTTCAGAGCACCACATGATGCATTTGCTGGTCCTCATAATAGATATCCTGGTGCCAACCCGTCATTTGTGCAAAATGAAAATAGTTTCGGTGTTCAGCCAAACCATTTTGTAGGATTTCCGGGAAGTCAGTTTAATACGCCCCCACAACCTCATCATCACGTGTTCGGTGGTTTGCCGGGTTTTAATCAGGATGTGAATCCTCGTTTAAGCACAGGATTTCGGGAAAGTCCACCACCTCAACCATCTCCTAAGACTTACATGCCCTCTCCACCATCGCCACCGGCTATAGTCCAACAGCCCCCAACTTCAAACCCTTCTGCAATGCCCAACAAGCCAGCTGGTATTGCATTTCAAAACCCTACCAATGTACCTTCATTTACACAAGACTTTGCCACGTCGGGAATACCGGTTTCACATCAAACCAACCTTGCTCCCGCTGCTACTGTACAGCCAAACAACCCTGCCCCTGCTGCTATTGTAGTACAACCAAATCACCAAGCCCATGCTGCTACTGCACAGCCAGATCACCCTCCTCCTGCTACTACTGCACAAATAAATCATCCTTCCCTTGCTGCTAATCCTACCAACCCATCTGCTCCTAGTCAAGATTCTCGCAATGCAGGGTTTGAAATCAACCATAATCGTGGACCTCTTGGTAAGTTGTTTTAAAAGGGAAACACGGTTAGTTGTTGAGACAGGATAACAAATGTAGTCTCTTGATTTTATAAGTCAGGGGACAATCGCAACATAAGAAATCTAAGGCGAAATAAAATGCACTTTCAGAATATTTGACAGAACGTCTCGCAACTAATCGGCATTGAAAACGTAACGTGTGATATTTCACAATCATGGATTTATAGTATGCATATCTTTCCGTAATACATGATGACGTCTTACTACAAGGGGTTGATTCACAATCCCAACATGGCTGCGATAACGCCAATTCCTGGTCTATGAAGTAATCATTATATGGTTTATTTTAACAGCTCAGCAACCAATGAACCATATGAGAGCATTTGGACCGTTTGGCAGTCATCCACATGATACGTTCTCACAACAAAATAATTTCCTCCATCCTCCAATGCAACCGCTCCATAATTTTGGACCAAGCGGATTTATGAATAAGCCAGGTAATTTTAGTTTTATTGTTTCGTAAGATGTAGATAACACTCAAAGCCAGTCATTGGCTTAAAGATATATGCTAAAAGAGTATTTATCGGTTTTTATTTCCAATAAAAGTAAGACAGTTTTAGTATATTTGGAAAGTAGAGACATCTTATTGTACTAGAAAAATACTGGATTTCCAGGAAAAAACACGAGGCTCGTATCCCTAAACGTCAGGCCCTCGGTTTAGCGAGAGAGAGAGAGAGAGAGAGAGAGAGAGAGGGAGGTTTAACGCCCACTCGACACAAACTAGGTCATTTCGAGAATAACACATGGTTCAATTTTATTTCAATAATTCGCTTGCGCGTAGGGGTCTTTAGCAGTGGGAGGAAACCGAAGAACACCCACGAGGTTGGACAGGCGACCCTACTCTCGGTTTAGCGGTCTGTCTGAGTGATGTAAGGGGCGGTTCTTATGTGTTGACTAATGGTTAACGATTTTGATAACACTGAAAGAATTAAACAACCATAGACCCTGTGATTAAACGGCGGAAGAAGTAGTTGACAGACAATTACTTTATTATTTCTAAGAGCATGCTAGCTTAAAGAAATGAAATGGGGTTTAACTTCCTACTGTTCTGCTGCGAACTGGGCTAATGAAGACGGGCATACGCCATACAGTGTGCTATGAGGGAAATTTTGCCCGGACAGTGGCACTACGGCCTACTCTTATATCGAATTCCAACTGTCAAGGGATCTTTTACGTGCACGCCAATGTGTACACGGGACCTCGGTTTATCGTCCCATCCGAACGAATAGACAGTTAGCTTAAAGAGAAACCTTCGGGTAGTAGCGTGCATCGACCAAATTTTTCAGGCTTTCTATAACCAATCGGTTTAGAGATTTTAAACGGTTTTGCTTATATGTTTGCCCCTGTTTAACTGAATTGGACATTTTATTTTGCAGTTCAAGACTCGGCTAGCAAAGCTACCAAAAATATCCACAACTTTATGGGTGGTTTTGATGATTTTAACAATGGTTTCCATGGGTTTTCTAGTAACATCGGTAGGAAATCACCATCCAGCGACACGCGTAAGTAGTTATCACTGGAAATGGCCCGACGGATCGATATAAATATATTCTGTTATTGACAATTATTCAGTAGAATTAAAATTAATATTTGCTTGATTTCTCTTAAAATATTTTAGGCCCACCTTCTTCTTCATAAATTCCTTTTGGAGTTTGAGTTAAGAAATTGTGATTGGTTCAAACCACTATTTTACACTTTGCCAACTTCTTCGGCTAGATGGGCTGTAAGGTTAATTCAACATAGTCTGTGCTAGGAGCGTCAGACCTGTTTCCGCACGGACAATTCGTCCATCGGTAATCCCGATAATGTGTCGTCTAAACCCTTGACAATGAAGGACACCACCAAAAGCTTGTTTTATAAAGCATCCCCGTAATGACCCCGCGGACCAGCTATATCTCTGCAGTAAACATAATCACTGCACACTAACATCTGATAGGTCAATAACTCCTCGAAAACGTTAGACAATTCTCGACCTTTCTACCGACTGGAAAAACTTTGTTTAATTCTAAATGAACTTGATAAGTATGTTATTGTCCTGAGCTACACTCACTTAATAAATTGATCACGAACCTTTCATATGTGACCGATTGTAGATCGGTGACTTGAATTTTGGATTTTATTCGTTCAAAACATTATGGATGCACAATTATTATACTAATATAATGTAATTACCCAATCCTAAAGTTATTAATGGTTTGATTTAACCAGTTAGCACCATCTGTTTAAGTAGGAATCCGATATTTTGTTGTTTAGTGATACACAGTCCTGCTATTTAGGTTAGTTTAGTGGCTTAAGGGTATAAGGTCAAGCGTTTAATTGCACTGTATGTTTGACAAGGAGTAGTTTCGCATGCCCCACCACGAACGTTTCCCCCGAGTCATGTCATGTTAGCAAAGTATAATGCCGGAAACATTAAACACTTTTCCTGTTTTTTTGGTTGGGTTCATTGGAGGTATTTAACGACCCCCCCCCCCCCGCCCGCGAAACCCCCCCCCCCCCCAAAAACCAGCAAAACAATCGTCTTTCCATGTGGTATTTCAAGAGCATAAACTAGAGAAATTCTTAGTGTGAAGGATCGGTAATTGAGTTTGAGAGGCGTATTTAATACAGATCCCTTAATCCAGCCCGAATCTCTCTCCCTCTCTCTCTCTCTCTCTCTCTCTCTCTCTCATATTCTATATAATACTTCGTTTTTAGTCATCAGTAATATGTTGCTATACTTTCAGGTAACAAAGGCTCATTCTTCAACAACCTCTTCAACTTTAAACGAAGATAAGAAATAATGAATGGTTGCTGACAGAACTTATTATTATTATATGTTTCTCTTAAATCTAAACAGTGATATTAAATATTTAGAAAAACTGCATATTTGTTTCGACCTAATGATCTTGATTGGGGTTATTATTTGCGGTCCACTTAAATATTGGTCATATAGTCAACAAAAATGAAACTGACCATATGTACATTTAACATTTGACATCAGTGCGTTGAGTAATTGTTTGTTCAACAGTCGACAGACCAAATGAGAAAATGCGATACTATAATTAGTATATAAAGCAAGATTCGCATACCCTTCCCGACAAGACACTGGAAATCCCAAGTCGACCGAAATCAAAAGGTTGCTTTTATCAAAGTAATAAAGGTTATGCCCCTTCAGTTTTTTTTAATTTCCCCAATGTTGAAAGCATCCATGTGTATTAGGAAACATTTCTACATTAATTTGTTCTTTTAAGATATGAAATGAAATGGGGTTTAACGTCCTACCGTTCTGCTCCTAACCTGGGCTAATGAAGACGGGCATACGCCATACAGTGTGCTATGAGGGAAATTTTGTCCGCGCAGCGGCGCTACGGCCTACTCTTATATCGAATTCCAACTGCCAAGGGATCTTTTACGTGTACGCCAATGTGTACACGGGACCTCGGTTTTTCGTCCCATCCGAACGACTAGACAGCTGTCCTTGTCAGGCCATCCATCCTGCATCACTGACAAGGGGAAACCACGCCGGAAAATCTGTATGAACTTTCTCGGCCAATGCAAGGATCGAACACCCCACCTTCGGACTAGCGAGCCAGCGTCTTACCCACTTAGCCACGTGATCCCCTTGTTCTTTTAAGATTCGGACAACCACGTCCAAACACTTCCAATATAGAAGCAAGTAATTTTTATGAATTGAGCAAGAAATAATGTATACCGAACCAACAAGTAAAATCCTGGCTTTCGATTTGCTTGCAATTCACCGAGTATAGTTCAGAATATCATATTTACCCTTCATGTTGTCCCAAGTGAGAAAGCTACGTCCTTTGAATAATTATTAACACACGCCTACTAACTTGATCAAGATTCATCAATCCAATGAGATACCTGTCAAATTTTCGAAAGTCCTCCTCGTTTTGTCACAGTAACGTCCATTAAATACATCTGAATAATCGCCACCACACAACATTTACAACTTCAAGATATAGAAGTGGATTTTTAAAGAGCATTTGGTGTGATACCACATGAGCCATGCCTCGTGCATCTTATAACTGGACACATGGGACACGCCCCTTACTGAAGGGGATCCATAAATACTTTTTTTCTGTTTTATTGTGGGGCATTCGCTATATCCATTTCTGTCTTTCCGGTCGATTTGGTAATTTGGGTACGAACTGGAAGTGGATTTTTGTTTTTGCTCAAGGCTGACGAAAAAAAAACAAGGCCGTCACCAAATATTCTATAGAAATCCTCCCCCCAAAAATACGGTTATGGAATGGGCCCCTATGAACTGCTAAACTGTCTGAAGTTCGAATGGAAATAAAAATGGGGATGTCCTTCATGTCTGCACCGACTGTGCTATGAGGGAACTTTTGCCCGGGCGGCGGCGCTACGGCCTACTCTTTTTAGAATTATAACTATCAACGATTCTTTTACGTGTACGCCATAGTGCACACGACAAATCGTTTTTTGTCCTATCCGAACGACTATACTGTGCTTGCCAGGCCCTCTGTCCTGCACCACTGACCATGGGGAACCACGCCCGAAAGCCCTGGGGAACTGTCTCGGCCAAAACGGGAGTGAACCAGAGACCTCCTGGTTAGCGACCCAGCGTCTAACTCATTAAGCCACAGCGACTTTCAAAGTTTCAAACAGATCTATAATGACGAATAATACTGTGTTACAATACTGTGGAATATTCGAGACAGAAATCAAGCTAAATGCCTAATTCTCAAATTTCGTAACATTTTTAAAATCAAAAATTGGGGGCTAATCTGGAAGTTCTGTATCAATTATGTGTTAATATTCCTACCGTGGAACTTTAACAAAGAGAGAGAGAGAAATGGGGTTTAATGTACACTCGACACAAATAGGTCATTTCGGGACTAACATATGGTTTAATTTTATTTCAATAATTCGCTTGCGCGTAGGGGTCTTTAGCAGTGGGAGGAAACCGGGGGACCCGAAGAAAACACACGAGGTTGGACAGGCGACCCTACTCCTTGTCACGTACAACCGGGGATTCGAAACCACACCAGTTGACTTAATGACAGGCTTTATGATACAGCGCGCACGTGCTCACCATTCGGCCATCCACCCTCACCCCCTTTAACATAGAACACATTAACAAAACGGTTGTCCGATAGCATAAGAGATTTTTAAAATGAATTCTAAATTAAATTGTTGACGAATCACAATTCATAAACACGTGTTCTGTAAGTAACACATGACTTAATGTCAAGGCCAACAAATGTGAAATTGACCTTTTGCGTAGATAATTTTGTAATTATCCGTGAAACAAAAATTAACGATTATATGGTAATCTGTATGTAAATAGTAAGTATAAATTGTAGCGATCTAGGGATTTCAATGTTATTAACGGAAGAATAGGAGAAGTGCTGATCACAAAATGAAGACGGAGATACTTTTCTGTGTACTGCTTATGTTAGCAGCCCAAGGTAAGAATCTTTGAGGCATGATACTGGAATATGTCCACCACTCGCATATCTTATATTGGACAAGCACAGTGGTTAAAGATTTTATCGAGTTTAAAACCGGCCTCTCATTAAAATTTCGTGGACAACACTGAACGGAACAGAAACATTATTGGATAATGTGTTCCTATTGTAGTATGAAAGTTATTCTAATTGATTCAAATCACGCATCGGGATGATAAGCTTATCGTCTGATTACATTCTGGAAGCCTAATATCGCTGCTGCACAAGTATCATGTTTATCCCAGTGCGATCCACTTGATTTATGTTATCGACAAACTATAGTGAAAATAAAATGACAACAGTTGGCAAAAACGATGCAATAAGGCAATAATTAACAACTGTGAGTAGATGATGTTTGTAATTTGCGTTCACAGGCGTAAATGGCCGATGAAATGAAATGCTCGAAAAAGTTCACGTTAGTCGATCGCCAGCTAGCACCGTAAATTTTGAAAACTACACGACCGCAAACGCATTTTCCCGCATGTGAGTACTGCAACTAGAGATTGGTCCTATATAACCTTAATAATATAGTTTTGCAATTGAAATTCCCAATCGATCGACACTGTGAAGGTGCGAAGTGTGCCTCCTTGGGGTATACGGGGCCTCCCCCATCAAATTCTGAAATTTAGACGATTGGAAAGGCGCAAGAGGTCTACAACGACTAGAACTTGGTCCATCCAAAGGGCATCAGAAATTTTACTTCCCAAAAACCATAGTCAATTTAAAGAAATTTCGATTTCCGACAAATTTAAGAAACAAGTTTGTTATCTCGTAAATTCACCCCAAAATACTATATTATTTCTTTTCACTTTAACAATCTGCCCGAAAAACCTGATTGCCGGAAAGTTTAGGAGCATGCCCAGACTATTTAAGACCAAACAGCTCTTTTTTCATTGTTCTTAATTCTTATTTCTTCAATCTGTTTTCGTATTTCGTATTTCACTAAAATATAACAGGTGGTAATCGACATCTGTAGTTTCAAGATAATTCAATGTTTAACGATTTCAGCCTCTTCTCAAAGACGTGAACTGGAAGTTGATATAAAGGCAATAGCTAGCGCAGCCACAGGAGTAATTCCAGATAACCCAGATGAAACGACCTTCGTTAAAATAGAGCTCACGCTCCAAAACATTATTGATTATGTAAGTAGTACCCTTTACAATGGGGCGGCGGGGGGGGGGGGGGGGTGGCCGAATGGTTAGCACGTGCGTGCTGTATCATAAAGCCTGTCATTGAGTCAACTGGCGTGGTTTCGAATCCCCGGTTGTACGTGACAAGGAGTAGGGTCGCCTGTCCAACCTCGTGGGTTTTCTCCGGGTCCTCCGGTTTCCTCCCACTGCTAAAGACCCCTACGCGCAAGCGAATTATTGAAATAAAATTGAACCATGTTTTAGTCCCGAAATGACCTAGTTTGTGTCGAGTGGACGTTAAACCCCATTTATTTCTCTCTCTCAGCCTTTACAATGAAACAAATACTAAACCGCTTATATTTGGCAACATTGTTGTTCTGTGGTATTTTAACCAGACACTGGGCAATAATTGTACTGAAATAAACGTACTTGGACACTATATACCATAACGTTTCGTTGCAAACAAGTAATTATTGCCATCGTATGTTGTCATAAACCATATATTACAACGTGATGTGATATAACATATTATAATGTTGTCATATAACATATAAAGCTGCTACGAAACATGTAATGTTGACATATAACATGCAAAATTGACATAACATTGCAATAAACGTCAAAAACATGTATAATCACTGAATATTATCAGAAAACACATGTAGTTATTAAATATATCGTCACAAAACTCGGTCATATAGTAGCTAAATATTGACCACAAACACTTCACAGCCCTGTAATGATTACCTGTTATACTGTGTTTACTATTTTATCAAGGATCCAAAGAGCCAAATTTTTGAAATCACAGCCTGGTTACTGATACAATGGACTGATGGTAGATTTGCATGGAAACCATCTGATTATGGTAATATAACTAAAATAAGTATTCCTTGTTCCGGTGTTACCAAACCAGATATTAAACTCTACAACAGGTAAGTTATAATTCCAGATAAATATTGTTGAACTATCGAGACATGGGGATTAATTGAAGTTAGTGTGCCGACCGTGGTATAAATCAAATTTAATAGATTATATTTTTTATCTGAACAGATGGGCCGTTTTCCTTGTTTAGTTCTTGTTTTTGTCGAATATTTACATGGTCAGATGTCGCATAAAGAGGCATATCGAGCAATGGTTAAAATGATTTCAAACGTACACTCTTAAAAGACGTAATAGTTAAGCGAAGTATGGATTCGAATTCAATATTCCATTTATTCAAGTATGTAATGCACAACCTATTCGTACAATATAGTGCACTCTTTCATTCTTTTGGAAAACCATAACATCTTATCAGGAAAGTTTATTTTATAGTTTAAAAACACTTTTGTGTACTTTTGTATTGTGAGTACCTGGCCAGTGACTATGTTGATGGTCTCTGACTCAGAGGTATCCTGAACCCTGTAGCATACTTTGGTATCTGAAATCCACTAACAAATATCGCTCTATTTAGCTAGGTAACACACGCGTTCACGTGGCTAGGGCCACACCATATTCAAATTTTGCTTCTTATTTCTTTGGGATATAACTAATTTAAAAAACGAAAAGTACTTGCTTGCTTTTCCCAAAAGCCTTCAGTTCAAAATACATAAAACTTGAGTAACTAAATATTCAATTTTATTTTACGTCTGTATGCCGCAGTTTCGTATTCCGTCTATTTCAGTGTCAAATCAGGTATGATCGTTGATGGGGATGTCAACTGCGTTATTGCGTATACTGGCGAAGTAACATACATACCCATAACAAATATGAAAGTTTACTGTCCTAACGCCGATCCTACAGCTGACACGTATGTATGTTCCCTAAAATTCGGATCTTGGGCACACAATTGCCATGATATGAATATTACCCGAGTTGATGATATGATTGACCTGTCTGAATACCAAGGTGGTTGGAGATGGCAGATAGTGGAACATTCATCAGAAGTCCACGAACAACAATATGACTGTTGTCCTGAAACGTTCTGTGATGCTACCATGAAATTGAAATTCCGAGACCGATCTAGGACACCACGTGGAAGATGGTACTACCCACATTGCCTTTAAATAGGTCCATGGAATGTCTTTGACAATAAACAATTAACAGAGGTTTAAACTGTTTTTATATTTAGAAAATGAGGACATGACACGCAATAACTTATTACATCTAGCTTATAAGTCAAAGTGAGTTATGATGGTGGAGAAACATACATAAAGATTTTTCTTCGAAGCCTACAAAACTCAGCTTTGTCTTAAGTATTTGTCAGAGAGTTGCAGAGTACCTCAAACTGATTAAAACACAGATCCTATTTAGTTTCGTTTTTTTATAGTCGTTTTACTTGTGTTTACTACATTAGGATGTTGTTGTTCTTCTTCGTAGTGTTTAACGTCTGCTTCCACCGAAGGTGATATCGCATACAAGTCTTATTTTTATTTTTATTATCTTAACGCACGCGCGAGGGTCTTTCCTGTGGAAGAAAACCGGAGTACCCGGAGTTAACCCACGAGGTTGACAAGGCGCCCCCTATCTTCAAGCCACATACGTTCACACCAGGGATCGAAACCACAACCGTAAGCCAGAGGTGACCGGCCAGCTAGAGGTCGAAGCGCGACACTTTAGACCACTAGGCCATCCCAACACTAGGATCTGGAAGATCTGTTATATAACCCGCGTTTTGATATCAGGAATAGGCCAATGTAACGCTCTATTGCAGCGAGTTCTTGGCGTGTGATGCACGGAACCGCGGGTATCCTAATAAAAACATCAACACGGATTGGTTAATCAAATGTATGACTCCTGACGCGACCTCCCACTACAACTGGTCAGATCTTGTAGTAGAGGCCATCGAAAATATATAAAAACAGAAACGAATTATAGATCAGAATGAGAGCAAATAAAATAGGTTGAGCCAAGTGGATTGTACGTGACAACCTCGTGGGTTTTCTCTGGGTCCTCCGGTATTAAGTCCTGAAATGTCCTAGTTTGTGGACGTTAAACCCAACGCTCTCTCTCTCTCTTAGTTAGGTATTACAGAGAGGCAATTTTAAGCAATTGCCATCTGGATGTGTGTAATTATTGCACAGTGTATGGTGATATCCACTGTTCATCAATTCTTCATTTTACACGTACTGTATATTGTATTGCGAATTGGGAACCACGGTGGCTAGGTGGGTAAGACGCTGGCTCGATAGCCTGGAGGTCGGGTGTTCGATCCCTGCATTGGCCGAGAAAGTTCATCGGGATTTTCCAACGTGGTTTACCCTTGTCAGGGGTGCAGAAGGGAGGGCCTAAGAAGGACAGCTGTCTTTTCCTTCGGATGATACGAAAAACCAAGGTCCCATGTATACATTGGCATGCACGTAAAAGATCCCTTGGCAGTTGGAATTTCACTTACAACACACTGTATGGCATATGCCCGTCTTTATTAGCCCATCTATCGAGAATACTGACTAGTAACGGGTTAACGAGATCGCTAAATTGGAAAGTTACGGGGATTTTCCTCGGGCTCAAATGAACAATATGATCTACAGTTTACGAAATTGTCCTGCGCGTTACTTGTGTCGACCTAGCTTTAAGAGAGAGAGAGAGAGAGAGAGAGAGAGAAATGGGGTTTAACGTCCACCCGACACAAACTAGGTCATTTTGGGACTAACATGGTTTTATTTTATTTCAATAATTCGCTTGCGCGTAGGGGTCTTTAGCAGTGGGAGGAAACCGGAGGACCCGGAGAAAACCCACGAGGTTGGACAGGCGACCCTACTCCTTGTCACGTACAACCGGGGATTCGAAACCACGCCAGTCGACTCAATGACAGACTTTATGATACAGCGCGCGCACGCTAACCATTCAGCCATCCAACCCCCACCTAGCTTTAAACCCCACTAAATTTTGCATTGCTTAACATTGTTCCATAGTTGTTTGATCTTTGATTAAGAATAGGCCATTTTGATGCAATTGTGGGATCGGAACACTTATCGTAACCAAATTGAGTTTGGGATTGCAACAGGCAAGTTCTCACTTATCAGAGAAGAGAAGTGCGTCTACTGTTCAGAATGACAGAGGACGATCCCATGGAAGCTGGGCCAGTAGGTATCTGAACAGTGGCATAACTATTGGGGTTATGTATGGTGGGGGGGTGGGAGTTACGGCAAACTTGGTGGACTTTATTGGCAGAACCACCCGGACTCCGCGCCAGACTCTAGTTACGCTGCTGGTTCACCCCAAGCAATAAATTAGAAATCACATCGGCTTTATATCGCATTGTACTACTGCCCTCTTATTTCCCTATAATTTGTCACAGCAGGTGTGATATAATTTCACAGATTTTAACTTAGAGCCTAAAGTAGAGATCTGGGCCCTGTTTCTCGAAATCTTAACTAAAGATAAAATCCAATTTTAGAAGAGACTTCAATTTTCAAATAAAGAAAAAATGATTTAGGTTGTAATATTGTTTTAACAGATGACAATCATTTTCAAACGCGAAAAACGGGATGTCGAGAAAAATAATCTCTGTCACAACAGATACTACAGTAGAACTTGTATTAAGCAAGCACCCAAGGAAAATTTAAAAATGCTTGCTTAATGGAGGTGCTCTTTGACTAGAGGTATCCAATATTGCCCCAACCCCTATCACAAAAAATACAGATATAGATTGCATATATTTTTTTTATTCATGTAGTATAACAATAACAATACATGTACTTTTTATCTAGTTGTGAATTCAAAGAAGTCGCGTATACATGTTTGTTTAGTAATATTGGATCTCTGCCCCCCCCCCCCCCCCAATATTTCTTTTACTTCATCATACTGAATCATAGCGTCTAAAAGCGTATCGTTTAATAAAAAATACATCAGGATTAAGACTAGTAATTCTCTCTCCATTGACTTGAACCTTAAATCCATGACATGTTGGGCCTGAAACACCGGTTTAAACATTTTCATCATCGTTATGTTTATAACCACAGAGAGCACAGTGGTCTCAATAATGTTGAAGGGGGTTGACAATTTCTATTATGTATACCCTTGGTTAAAGGAATCTATTAGTCTGACGTCATTTTAGTAGGTGATTTCTTTAATTGATATTTGTTTACTAGCTTTCTGATCCTTCATGGCCCTAAAAGCATGGATATTCACCAAAATACAGTAGAAAATATAAAGCAAACATAGTCTCCTTCAATAAATTTTAGTCCGTAAGTATCATTTCATTGTAAATACACACACTACATTCTTAGTCCGGCAGAGTTTGATTACTTGTTCAGAATTATCACATCGTTTTAGTTTATGGCACAATTTTTCATTTCTCCACAAACTATATATTTTAATGAACCGAACCAAACAGTGATTAATGCATTAATTTTGGAACTGGCCCAATTATTATTCCGAGACTTCTCTTCCTCCATTTTCAAGAAATGCTTTTTGAATGGATGAACTTTCTTCGCCTATTTCTTGCTCGGTCGGAGTTACATATCTCACTTTTATCAAAACTGTACGGGAAAAGTAAAATAAAATTCCGAAAAATAAAAAGTAGAGAACTATTTCTATTAAAAATAAATAGCAAAACCACATCGGAGTTAATTCTTGCATGAGGTGCCCTATTATTAACGGATTTAACATGGAGCCACACGCTCCAGCAATGATAATTGATGATAGAACTTTACCAGTTAATCTTAGAACCGATTGTTCAATCCAGTTTAGTCCTGTGGCAAAAATAATGGAAATAGACGCACCAACCAAAGCTGTGAATAACCACACACCAATATGGAGTTCGTATTTGGCACATAAGAAAAATCCGAACAATGATACGGTTAACGCACTTGTGAAAATGAAAAGCCATTTAACTGGCGTCAAGCACCGAATCAGAAATATTCCAATAAACCGCAAGACTGCAAATGATCCCCAGTAAACAGACGTTACTAGACTGCCCTGCGATTTGTTCCATTTTAGCTGCATAACAACAAACGTTAACAAGTAACCAGAAAAAGTATCCTCAACAGCACAGTCAAAAAAATATATAGCATTAATGAAAACTATGGTCAGAATAAAGTATGTCAATGGCAGGTCCCGTTTCCTTGGCCTTTCTGTGTCCTTTGATTTAAGCTTTTTGTTCATTTTCTTATGCATTTTGTCATTTAAAAACAAGACGAAGAATGGTAGTGAAGCATGGAATGTCAATAGTCCTGATATGATATAAGCATAAATTAAACGTGTTTCACCAGATGAGTCCACGTGTTTAACATCAGAATAGTTATTGAACCCTTCAGGAAACGATGACGTGTTTGTCAATACGGGGAATGTGAAGCTGGTGTTGGATGATTCGGTTGGTGGTATTACCGATGAGCTATCCATGGAGTCGTCTGCCGGGTATGACAGAAAAGGTTCTGTTATTAATGGTGCAATTAAACCTCCAACGGCAAACATAAAATTCATAATTTGTATGTAGGAATGGCCTTCTGCGCCCCACGTCGCAACCACATCAGCATTCCCAGCTGAAACAAATATTTAAAATAGTACATTACAGAAAATACATTATTTCTGCCAAAGGTTTATTGCAACTAAAATTTACTCTAAGGGGTGTTCACCTGAATTTACTGTAGAATAATAAAAGTACTTTTCGGAAAGCAATACTATTATGAGAATTGTATAATTGACTATTAATTCTGCAACAGGTAATCAGCAATAGAACGGTGTAAATACCATAAAGATTAGTGAGTTTTGGATACGTGTTAAACAAAATAAGTAACAGACCCTTGTGGTGATATTATGATCGGCAAGGTGGTGGATGGGCGTAGCAGTCCACATACAATTTGACATTGCTCCTAACGGCATCTAAGATCGAGATTAACGGAAACCCGCCATTGACCCATAGACATTATCTATACCCGTGCTTTTTCTCTAGCGCAAATGCAAGACAACTGACAGTCAGGTGAAAAGGGATACGTTTTCTAAGATGAATCACACATTCCCTAAAGGAGTATCAGCACATATGGAATGTATCGGGTATTGTGTAGCAAGGAATACGCGGGGAAACTACTTAATAACTGTTCGTTAGGGTGTTTCACTTTTCACTTTTTTTGGAATTTCTAAGGTTTCTACCCGTCACCGAAGTCCACTCGGGGTCAAACTTACACCGTAATATTTTCAGAATTTTCTTGTCAAAAATGTCTGCCGACGGCCATTTTTTTCCAAAATTGCGACTATTTTCTGGATTTTCGGACATTTTGAGCTTGACAGATCACTTAGAAAGGTCAGGTATGGCTTGTAATGTGTCTATTATATGCTTTTCAGGTATGTAGAGTCCATTCCCACTATCTTAAATGAGATTGTCAGAATCCAAGATGGTGGAAATCCAAGATGGCGCCCCAAATCATCTATTTTCGTGACATGGAAAAGCATTTTTTAAAGACTATGTCATTCTGAATATCATTTTGGCCCTGATAATAAATTTTGCACTCATAAAATTCATTATCAGGGCCAAAATGATGTCAGAATGACACTGATCTACCTTTGGTTGAAAATGGCGAAAGGTAATGACTGAAGGTGAAGTTCCGATGGAGTATATTCACCATACTATTAATCTGGTAGAACTATGACTGAACCTGGAAATTGTTTACAAAGTTTTTTTTATGATTGATTTTAGTAGCCTAAGGTGTCCTCTTTCAGAATGTGCCGGGTGAATCTCGGTAACCCTTGGGCGTTTTGAGAAATTCAAGATGGCATCCAAGACGGCCGGCATTTCACTAAATACACTAAAATCGTTCATTATGTTGTGGGGTGATTAGATGATAGTAAAATCCAAAATGCCAGATAATATTGCCCTTTAACTCGTTAGCGGCGGTTGGGAGCGAATATTTCAGCAAACCAAATTACATCTAGAGACAAAGTATATTTCTGGACATAGGAGCATATGAGTGATATGATAACACCACATACATACCTATCAGGAGCTCCAGGGCCACACGACAGACTCTGGAGCAAGTTGGCAGGTTGTAATGTTCTCAATTTAGTAACCTTCACCCAGCAAGAGTTCCGGATCAAGTTCCCTGCAAATGCATCATTCGTTGAGCAAGACTACCTGGTTTGGGTGGGGGGATGCTGACCATACATTTCAGTTTTGGATGTCCAATTGTCCATACCCTCCAACGTGTTTCAGACATCGATTTGCTAGAACTTTGTCCATAACCAGCAGACATGTACAGTGGCCTGTGCAAGCATAGATTCTATTGGAGCGTCTAAAGAGAGAATACAATTAAGCTCTCACCACTTTCAAAGCTGTTTCTTTCCCCACGACGTAACAGCACGTAACCGTGTCACATCCAGTAAGAGCATGAGCTGGCAGGATTTCAATGGTACTGGATTACGTTTCTCAGAAGTTGAACCAATGTCAACGGTTGTTCTTTCCTCGATTGGTGATTCAATTGTAAGAAGCTTGTTATAGACAGAGCTCTTTTAAATCGCTGCCTGAAAGATGTTGGAGGGTATAGGCATCCAAAACGGGAAATGTGTCGTCATCATCCCCACCTAAACCATGTAGTCTTGCTCCAAAGAATGATGCATGTGTAGGGAACGTAAAAAGATGTCATCACCAAGCCATTGTGTGGCGTTGACTGGAAGATCGTAATCCGCAGGAACTATATTGCTGGGCTAAGGACACTAAATTGAGAACATTACAACCGGTCAACGTGCTCCGGAGTCTGTTACGTGACTCATCAGATGTGGATGCAAGAGTGACATGTAGTACGCGTTCTTGTAGCTACACTAGGGATGGCTTAGATTATACAGTATTTTGCGCTTGTGCTGTCGCAGGTTGCAGCCAGAAACACGACTAGAGGATTAAACGGAATATTACCTAGTTATTTTAGTGTTTTGCGGATAGAATTTGTTGGGTTTTTTTTAAATATTCAAAAAACAGCTTGTGCTAGGGTGCTCCTGATAGGCATGTATGTAGTGTTATTGTATCACTCATATGCTCATATATCCAGAAATATATAATTTGTCTCTAGATATAGTTTGGTTTGCTGAAATAATCGCTCCCAACCGCCGCTAACGAGTTAAAGGGCCATATTATCTGGCATTTTGGATTTTACTATCATCTAATCACCCCACAACATAATGAACGATCTCAGTGTATTTAGTGAAATGTCGGCTGTCTTGGATGTCATCTTGAATTTCTCAAAACGCTCGAGGGTTACCGAGGTTCACCCGTCACATTCTGAAAGATGACACCTTAGGCTACTAAAATCAATCATAAAAAAACAACTTTGTAAACAATTTCCAGGTTCAGTCATAGTTCTGCCAGATTAATAGTGTGGTGAATATACTCCATCGGAACTTCACCTTCAGTCATTACCTTTCGCCATTTTCAACCAAAGGTAGATCAGTGTCAGTCTGAACATCATTTTGGCCCTGATAATGAATTTTATGAGTGAAAATTTTATTATCAGGGACAAAATGATGTTCAGAATGACATAGTCTTTGAAAAATGCTTTTCCATGTCACGAAAATAGATGATTTGGGGCGCCATCTTGGATTTCCACCATCTTGGATTCTGACACTCTCATTTAAGATAGCGGGAATGGACTCTACATACCTGAAAAGCTTAAAATAGACACATTACAAGCCATACCTGACCTTTCTAAGTGATCTGTCAAGCTCAAAACGTCCGAAAATCCAGAAAATAGTCGCAATTTTGGAAAAAATGGCCGTCGGCAGCCATTTTTGGCAAGAAAATTCTGAAAATATTACGGTGTAAGTTTGACCCCGAGTGGACTTCGGTGACGGGTAGAAACCTTAGAAATTCCAAAAAAGTGAAAAGTGAAACACCCTACTGTTCGTATCCATCCGTGATGCTATATCGACGATCTTCCACCAGAAGACGATAAAGTGTACGTGTTGTCATACCGAGTGACTCACTGAGCAGTCTGATTTCATTGACATTTCAGACTCAAGAATTCATTTGGGGAATCAGGAATATCAGTTAGATTATAAAATTTCCACAAGTAACACCAGACGAATGCACCATCAGACATGTACTGGTGGATTGTTGATTGTGAGATATACTATTCAAAAAAAGTAGGGGATATTTGATTTTGGGGGCATAATACTAAAATATGCAAATGACTACGAAAAAAGTCACTATAGAACCTAACAGAAGAAACATTTCCAGTTACATGTGACGCCCAAACGCACCAATAGCTACCGCATGGAATGCAGTTGATGCTTGGGATCATCATGGGGGTCCAACCCAAGATTTGCACGACTCTGACTTTGAATGTTACAGTCATTGTGGCATTGAATTCCAGGGTGGAAACATCAGTTTAATTGTTTTAGTGACCAGAAAACAAATTTTGATATGCGTCGGCTTAACCAAAATGAAAGGTTACGTGCCCTTGGCATGCTACAGATCGGCACAACACAGGCGGTTGTGGCGCGGACGATGAATGTTTCTCAGTCTGTCATAAGCAGGCTATGGTCCAGATACCGTGATACACAATCTGTACAGGACAGACCACGCTCAGGTCGACCAAGGGCGACAACTCAAGCCCAGGATCGATTTATCCGTACCTTGGCCTTGAGAAATCGTGTCATCACAGCAAATCAGATCAGCGCTCGTCTTCAAACAGACACTGGTGTGAGAGTGGGTGGCCAGACGATTCGGAATCGACTGCATAGGGGGTCACCTTCGCGCCCGACGTCCTCGCGTGATCCCTGGTTTGAGAGATCATCACATTCAGGCAAGACGTCGTTGGTGTAGGGATCGTCAACACTGGGATAATCGACGCTGGAGCAATGTGATGTTTTCAGATGAGTCAAGGTTCACTGTTGATTTTTTGGACAGACGTAGGAGGGTGTGGCGTCGTCGAAACGAGCGCTTCCAAGACGTTAACGTCATCAGACATGATCGATTTGGGGGTGGTTCTGTTATGGTGTGGGGAGGCATCACTGTTGCTGGAAGAACGGCTTTACATGTTGTTGCAGGGCGTGTTACAGGCCAGTACTACCGGGACAACATCTTGGCAGTCCATGTTGTGCCGTTCGCACGACGTCATGGCCGCCGTTTCATCTTCCAGGATGACAACGCAAGATGTCACAGGGTCAGGATCGTTACAGGTTACCTCCAACAACAGAACATCACCACATTACCTTGGCCAGCACTAAGTCCCGACCTCTCCCCCATCGAGCATGTCTGGGACATGCTTGGACAGAGGTTACGTCAACGTCAACAACGTCCTGCCAATGTCCAAGAACTTGCTGCTGCGTTGCAACAGGAATGGGACAATCTGGACCAAAATGACCTTAGACGTCTCATTAGGAGTATGCCACGTCGGATCAATGCTTGTTTGGCAAACAGAGGAGGATTTACCCGTTACTGACTTGGTTGTGATGCTGTGGTAACTTTGCTGTTTGACCCCGGGTATCATTTTACCCTTATAATGGTCAGTCTGTGCCTTACTTAGTCTAACGATCATTTGGAATAAATCGATGAATGTGAACTTCATTTCATTTTGTCATTTGTTTCTTCGTCAGTTTCATTAGGTGACTTTAATAACACTTAAAAATCAAATATCCCCTACTTTTTTTGAATAGTATATAAAGGAAAGAGGGACGGGATTCAATGAGGGTGGTGTAGAATAACAACATGCCTCTCATCACTAAAAAATAAATCTTCCCAAAACCAAACATCTTTGAACGACCTGACCAAAGTCGGACTTATGCTGTATTCGTTACTCCTAAGTTTTATGGGAAAAACGACTAACGAAATGGTAAGTATAGCGTTCGTAACTACAAAAATCGGCTCGTAAGTCGTGATTTCTACTGAAGAACTCGGGTAGCTAAATTTGTATCGAGTTCACGACATATGACATAACAAGATGGCAGCCCCAGTTACACAGTTGAACGTTTTGAACGGTTATACTATTTTTGTAGTAAAATGCTTGTTGTGGACGTGCTTATAGATCTGAATACGTGATTTATAGGATTTTACATATTGGGATACATTTTTTAAACAATGACAAGAAACACATTAAACAGTAAACTAGAAAAATACCCGGCTTTCTATTTTGTTCTAACATGTTATTGTACGGCAGTTCAGGTTTTAGGGCGTACGGTCAATATCAATAAAAATGTTCCTGTAACGTGAAAGAAAACTCTGCACAAACTAGGTCTTTTCGGGACTAACGTACATTTCTTTGAATTTAAAATGTCTACATACCGATACAAATAATTAGATATTACCGGTAGACCTATGCTAAGCTAATTGACCGTGCCGCTCATCGACATTTCCATTTTTGGGACATTAGGCCCTATATATCTAAATATTCGCGGCTTAATGTACGACCAAATGTTCTCAGATTGATTATTACACATTTAATTAAGAATACTAAACCAATATAGGCCATCACCGGTATATGTAGACATTTTCCTGGATTGAAATGGATTTAAAAGAGGCTCATCAAAAGATTTACCAATACTTAAAGATTACACTGGTTTGTCTGTATCGTTTCCATTGGATGTCGAACGTTGATAAATTTCCAATTCATCATATCCTTGGATTGATATTCCTTAAGCGATTTAAATTTCACAAATTAACGGTCTTTATAATCCTTGAAGGGATAATGGCAGTCATGTTGATTTTCCAACTTGTGTACCAGAACAAGACAAGTATGGTATTTACTATTTCCTAGTGAGAAACACCATACCAGGGGTGATTGATAAATCGTGACTCTAACACAGAAAGAAACAAGAAATTCAAATCAAATGCATTTATTTTTCAACATACTCCCCCTTCAATGTAATACACTTCTGCCATCGGTGTTGCAGAGCCTTTATTCCAGTTCTGTCTTGGGTGTGTAGAAAATCATCCACAGCGGTAATGGCGTCATCGTCAGACGGGAAATACCTACCGGAAAGACATTTCTTCAGAGCTGGAAACAGATAGAGGTCTGAGGGAGCTAAATTAGGAGAGTAGGGTGAATGCTGAAGAAGTTGAAAACCACAGTCATGAATTGCTGACATGGCAACAGCTGATTTGTGCACTGGTGCATTGTCCTGGTGGAAAATCACACCTTTGGTCAGCTTTCCTCGTCTTGTGGTCTTAATTTCTTGCCTCAACTGCCTTATAAGTGCTGCATAGTATCTACCGTTAATTGTTTGACCCTTTTGGAGGTAATCCACCATGAGAACACCATCAGAATCCCAGAATACTGAGGCCATCACCTTTCCTGCCGATGAAACAGGATTTGCCTTCTTTGGAGTCGGCGACGTCAAATGTTTCCACTGTTTTGACTGCTCTTTTGTTTCTGGCTGAAAGTGGTGGACCCAAGTTTCATCCATAGTAACAATTTGTTTTAGGAAGCGGTCAGGATCGGTTTCAAATAAGGCCAGATTCTCTTCTGACATGTGTCTTGAACGCTTTTGATCAGGCGTTAAAAGCTTTGGCACCCATCGTGCTGAAACCTTTGTCATTTCCAAAGTGTCAGTGATAATAGAATGAACTCTCTCCTGGCTAATACCAACTACCCCAGCTATGAATCGTTCAGTAACTCGCCGGTCATTCATTATCAGATCATGGATTTTTGGTACCATTTCAGGTGTTGACACAGTTTTTGGTCGACCAGGGCGTGGTTCGTCTTCAATGCTGTCTCGACCACGCGTGAATTCAGCTGACCACCTTTAAATTGTGGCATATGAAGGAGCATCATCTCCTAATGTCTCAACCATATCATCATGTATGGCTTTCGGTGTTAGGCCCTTTTTTATTCAGATATTTAATCACAGCTCTCGCCATGATATGGTCCATTTTCTGATAACAACAGACCCTACTTGATTGTTATGACCTGTCACAACCAAACAATTTAACCGAATGTGATGAAAGTTTGTGACAGAGCCCGAGGAACATAATAGTGCACGTGCAAAACGTGGTATCATTGTGTTGCACGGTTTTCCAATCGAGGTTCACTACTTATCAATCACCCCTCGTATTTCCAAGCGGTAACGAATACAGCATAAATGGGATCGTGTGGTGTCTGGGTGTTGAGGCACCTAAACCCCCTCCACCAACACAATGAAATTAGATGTAGGTTAGAAATAATGCATGATCTAAATGAAAACATCAAAAAAGCCAAAATATATATGTGGCCTCTCCACACTTCCTGGATCCGTTCATGTAACACAGACTGATTCCATACAACCAAATAAAACAAACAACTCACCCGTATCATACCAACCCATAAAAACTGCACTGACAAACATCATCGTCAACATCAGACCATAATATGAGCAAAGGGGTATAACGATTACTGACAAAGATAACCCGAACATTGGTAAGAAAAGCAGAATCACGCTGTTGAATCTGTCGAAAAGGACTCCACCAGCAAAGGAACCAGACATATAACCAACTGCAGTAGCCGTGAAATATGTAGAGGCTTTCTCGACATCTGTATCGGTGATAAGTTGTAAGTCTAGAAATGATGGTCCCCTTTGACTAAAAACAATACCCTGTAAATAATATAAAGTTGTGGAATTTGGTGAAGAATTAAACAAAATGGACTACAAAGCTTATCAGTTTATGAACACGTGCATTCGACAAAAACTGTGTGATAGTGATACCATATGTCATTGTAACTATATCGGATACACCTACCCCACCCATCGAATATGTCAAGTTGATTTGACGGGTGTGGAAAGGGGCAAACGCCAAACATTGCAACAAAGGTATACAATAATGTTGGTACTAAAAAAACTGAAGTGTGTGTAGATTGGAAGATAATCTATCCCCACCACCTCTCCTTTAAATTACGTACGGCGTGTCCTTACATGAGTAACGAAGCCAAACAGTATGGCAACTGTTCGAAAGAACTTGATTCTGTAATGGCCATTCTCCATACGTTGAAGGAAACTTTGAGACTGTTCAGCTTCTTCATACTCCTCATTTAACTGTTCCATGGGATTATCTTTACCCGAGGTGTCATTCTGTACGGGGTCATTGCCGTCTTCCATCTTAACGTATTACCTTAAATGATTAACAACAACCATTTACACAAATTTAAGAAATATATTCAAATCAGTGTATCTGAATTCAGCTGTGGTCAAAGGGACACAACTCCAATTTACAAATATTAATGGTTTGCACACAGATGGACACAGGTCACCAAATATTTCTACGCCGTCACCCGTAGGGCAAAAGTTATTTTTATTCTTTCTCTCCCTTTCCCTTTTTCCTCCTTTTGCATGGCGATTTTTGTTGACCTTTTGGTGTAGAATCGAAGAAAAGGCCAGATCACTATTGATTTCTGCATTGACTTTAATGTTTAGGGACAATATTGATGTCAGTCATTATCACGTATGTGATAGAACAGGCTCTTAACTTAAATTGTCGTTGAGTAGAGCGCTTTGTACCACAAACGGAGCAACATCTGGCAACCTCTTGCTCAAAAGCACGTATGATATTCATAATGGAAAACTTAAGATACACAAACTGGAAGCAGAGGCAAAAACGAGCAACTTTCCGCCCTACATTTCAACCTAACCAACCTCTTAACTTTCGTAATCTTCCACCTCAAAATCACGACTATTCACCGATTCACCAATATTCACACCTTTTCTCCGATTCTACAACAAAAAGTCAACAACGATCGCTATGCAATAGCAGGAAAAGGGGGGAGGGAGAGAAAGTCTAAAAATAACTTTCGCCCTTGTTTGGAGGTAGGAATAATTGGTGAGCTGTGTCCTTTCTCCTCGAGCCATTTCATAGTATTGTTACTTATTTGGCAATTTGGCTTTAGCTATCATCTATTTATTAATCGAGGCATCGTTTAGAATGAATGGTGCATAATAGTGTAGTATTAATCGTTCGTCAGACAAACAGGTGCCTGTTCTCCAATCACTATTGTGTGATTTCTGTCCTTTAAAACAGATTATTTAGTCACGTTGTTGAAACAATGTAATTACCAACTCGTCAATAACGGCTTACACATCGATCGATATATCAAGTCTTCAACGTTCTTACCTATATTGTATGGTAACTATATAGTTCACTGGATGCGTTTCTAGCCACCAACAGTCGTCCAATGGGTTCTCAAATAGCTGTGTAAAATGGCCGTCTCTAGGAAACGTGTAACAGTGTATGGTTTATATTTGACATGCCCCACATTCATTCACAGTTGAGCAAATAGACTGGTTTAGCTTTATACGTTTGAATACAAAACGGGTAATATTGGCAATATTTACAGTGTATCGTGCCTCGTAGACTCGTGTTTCATTTATAATGCCCGAGATGTTCTGTACACATCGGTGACGCGAGCTATGGATTTCCACACTCAGTTTCTATTCGAACAGTGATAACCTTGCATCCATATGCCCCATACTGCAGGTAATAAAGCAGTATTATAAATATATACTAGGTCCAAGTAATAAATATATTATTGTCATGACGATATACTAAAAATCCATATTTTGCATTTCACACTTTGTGTCAGTTACCAAAATAATCCACCTACCTTTTCAATTTTTGTTCAATTTTGAGATAACAAAACGGGTCAACACAACCGATAACCAAATATGTGTTATTTGGCAAACGATGGTCTATATTTAAGTCGATCACGTATTTTGCTTTCTTAAATCAACAATAAATGTTACAACATCACAGAGCTTGTCGCATGTTTTACATCCCATTTTACAACGTGTCTAAAATTTGTGTTAATGACATTTAGTGCACTATTTGTGTATATAAAATTAGCAAAGACGAATCTCTAAAAAAAAAAAATCCCAGACAAGTGGTGTTACGTAACTGAAAGTGTCCCTAGGCATATCACCTTCAGATTTATTTTGATTGCATGTGTCTGTAGCGAATACCGAAGACATTACAACAAAGGCCTGGCCCCGGGTTCACAAAGCATTCTTAGACTTGAGTAAAGAATTTACACATAATTCTTGGCCTTATTTTAACTAAAATATAACCCTTTATAAAACGTTTGTTACTTTAATGTATCGGATTCATCAATAAGAAACTATATGAATTTTTTTGTGTTTCTGGATCAAAAACAGTGACTGAAAGTTGAGTAAATTCTTAAGTCTGAGAATGCCTTGTGAAACCGGGACCTGTTTACGTGTTCAATATTTCATGTCTTCATTTCTCCATCATTAATAGTAAAGCGCATTCAAAAATGTTAACGACAGGTTCTCTCATTAACAGTATGTCATGTTGGCCCGATATCTATAGTGATTGAAAAAGGTTGATGTATAGGTTGCCACAAGTCACGTTCTACCCAATGAAATAAATGGTTATGTTCCCAAATTTAAAAATATTTAAAACAACGTTTAAACAATTTTACAAGGGAAAATCTTGTGTACTTTCTAGAATTCTCGTGGTTGAATCAATGAAGACAAGTCTTTTGTTGGTTGTTAATATTTTTCTATTAATATTTTTCTATTCTTTGGTTAACAAGTTATCAACATAACTTACAGCAGACAATTAATCTAACGATTATTGGTTCAATGCTTTATAGTAAATAAGTATGGAAGTATAACGTTGCCAATATTATTTCATTGTTCACGGTGCAAACTGCAAATGTCAGTAGTTCAAAATACGTATTTTAGTTTTACAATTTGCAATTTCCATTGCTCAACAATACCAATGACGAACGTCATTTGCATACGGAAAAAAGTCCGGACTATGACGGAAATTAATGATTTACGCGATAAAGCCATAAGGTCACCTGGATACGAAATGAAGTTAGCACACATATTCCTAGCGCCAATAAAAACCTAGATATAATTATCACGAAAATAATTGTTACCTTTATATTAGAAAACGACATATTAATGCAAAGTATATATGTAATAGCCCCCCCCCTCCCCTCATGAAAAACTCGTGGGTTTTCTCCGGGTCCTCCGGTTTCCTCCCACTGCTAAAGACCCCTACGCGCAAGCGAATTATTGAAATAAAATATAACCATATGTTAGTCCCGAAATGACCTAGTTTGTGTCGAGTGGGCGTTAAATCCCATTTCTCTCTCTCTCGCTCCTCATGAAAAAAAAATATCGCGGGTGCAATAAACAAGGGGTACGTCCACACTGCACCAAAAAGCACTCCAAACTGGTATTTCACAGAGTCAAGGGATGAATAACTACTATATATATATATATATGTATATATATATACAAAAATCCAGAAGCCTCCTATGCTGGCTTTTAGAGATATATTACCGTAAACGTACTAAATATGTGAGGGAATCGGGATAGGGTAGGCTCACTGCGCACACAATAACTTCTAAATTAGCTTTGGTGGTTCCAAGATCTTTATTTCGCCAAATCGACAGATGCATAAGGTGTGAACATGCCAAATTTCATTAAATTTCTATGTTGGCGTATCGAGATATACCACCGCAAAGTACCTAGCACCCGGATTCGAGACGGGGTTCGTGGGTTCAATAAATGAGGGGTACGTCCACACTGCATCAAAAAGCACCCAAACCAGCTTTGGTGGCAAACTGTTTTGTATTTCACAGAGTCAAGGGTTGAATAAACTACTAGAATACAAAAATCCAGAAGCCTCCCATGCTGGCTTTTGGAGATATATTACCGTAAACATACTAAAGATATGGGGGAATCGTGTTAGGGTAGACTCACTGCGCACGCACTAACTTCTAAACTAGCTTTGGTGGCTCCAGGATCTTTATTTCACCCAATTGACAGGTGCAAAAGGCTTTTAGAGATATATTACCGTAAACGTACTAAATATGTGAGGGAATCGGGATAGGGTAGGCTCACTGCGCACACAATAACTTCTAAATTAGCTTTGGTGGTTCTAAGATCTTTATTTCGCCAAATCGACAGATGCATAAGGTGTGAACATGCCAAATTTCATTAAATTTCTATGTTGGCGCATCGAGTTATACCACCGAAAAGTTCCTAGCATCAGGATTCGAGGCGAGCTTCGTGGGTACAATAAACAAGGGGTACGCCCACGCTGCATCAAAAAGCACCCAAACCAGCTTTAGTGGCAAAATGTTTTTTGTTTCACAGATTCAGGGGATGAATAAACTCTAGATTGCACAATTTCAGAAGCCTCCTATGTTGGCTTTTCGAGATATATTACCGTAAACGTACTGAATATGTGGGGGAATCGGGTTAGGGTAGGCTCACTGCGCACGCAATGACTTCTAAACTAGCTCTGGTGGCTCCAAGATCTTTATTTCACTAAATCGACATATGCATAAGGTGTGAACATGCCAAATTTCATTAACTTTCTATGTTGGGGTATCGAGTTATACAACCGAAAAGTTCCCAGCACCGGATTCGAGGCGGGGTTCGTGGGTACAATAAACAAGGGGTACGCCCACGTTTCATCAAAAAGCACCCGAACAATGGTTCAATTTTATTTCCATATTTCGGTTGCGCGTAGGGGTCTTTAGCAGTGGGAGGAAACCGGAGGACCCGGAGAAAACCCACGAGGTTGGACAGGCGACCCTACTCCTTGTCACGTACAACCGGGGAATCGAAACCACGCCAGTTGACTCAATGACAGACTTTATGATACAGCGCGCGCGTACTATCCATTCAGCCATCCACCCCACCCCCCAACCAGCTAAAGAAATAAGGTCATATATTTTGATTACATAAGTTGTTTTATTTAGAAATAATTAAGATAACAATAGATATACAGTAAAAATTACAATCAAACCAAATCTTAATAATAGGTATATATTGAATACAAATATATGACCAAATCATTAAATATCTAAAACAAATTAATAATACTTTAATCATAATCTAGTAATTATATAAAATACAGGAAATGACAAACAAAGAAAGCGATAAAAAGGGACAGATAATCTTAAACGAATCGAAATTAAATGGATTATAATGACATTTACACAGTGAATATCCCTTTAACATACAAAATATAACAATATGTGCCAGTGTAAAGGATACCAAGCACGATGTGTAAATCATGATCACCAACTGAATTATATTCCCAGATTTGAACAAAACATAACAAAGCTTAATTTTACTAGTAATTATCTACCATATATAGACAATGAAACTTTTACTAACGTTACCGAGTTTCAGTTGATAGTTTTGGTTTTAAGGAATAGCTCAATACATAACTGCACACGAAATGCATTTAATGGTCTGAAATCTTTACGATCTTTAAAAATAAGAAATAATACCATTTCAAGTATAGAACTAATGGATTGTTTGTCTGGCATAACAAAAGATTTAAAAAATCTGGATTTAGAATTTATAGACTTAGAAAAGTCTTGGGATCTAGATTTGGACAAGATTATGACACATTCAAAGATCTCCTATTTACACTTACGGAATATTGAAATAACACATTATAATCAGAGTAAATTGTCAACTTTAAAACATCTGAACCATATCGAAATCTTCAGCGCCTCTTTAAGAATGGTTACATGTGACTGTTCGTCTACTTTAACGTCATTACAATTAAATTATAACCAACTTTTTGAATTGCCAACATTTTGTGTAAATGATAAGGCGTATTTTCCACATCTTAAGTATTTGCGTTTAGACCATAATTACATAGAGTCTATAAAGCCAGAACTACTCGCTTGTATGAAATTCCTCGAACAGTTTTATATTGATAATAACCGTATACATTTGATAGAGAGTAACACGTTTTCAAACTTACCAAAGCTTTATCTTGTATCAATTTCATACAATGGACCAGATATGGCTTTACAAGAATTTGCTTTTAACAGTTCATCCCTGAAAAAACTCTTTCTATATGACAACGACATATATTTTGTCAATGGACAAAAGCACGTCAATGAGGATGCTTTTAAATACTGCACACAATTGGAAGTTTTAATGTTATCATCGAACCACTTCGTGTTTACTACACATCAAATGTTCGAAGAAATGTTCAGTACTCTGCGTAATTTAAAAAATCTGTCATTAGCTCACGGCGGAGTTCGTTTCTTCCAAGTTTTATTCCAAAATATCTTGATAAATTAGTGGCGTTTTTTCTTGGCAGTAATAACATTATACATATAAAGGAAGGCTACTTCAATAATCTCAAATCTCTAAACAATATAGAAATAAATTCAAATAAAATAACCACAGTTAAACCAAATACATTTTCACTTCAATTTCTTAAACAGGTGAAAGGCATTGATCTTTCTAACAATCCGTTTTCTTGCTCCTGTGAATTACTTTGGTTCATCAATTTTCTAAAAACAAGCCCCATCAGAAAACGTTTCATTCGTTTTCCAAAAG